TCTTAGTAGCACTGAGGGCTGAACTGTGAACAAAGTTTGACATAGCCAGGCTTTCTTTGTGTAAGTCGGCTCGACAAAATCTAAAAGCCCAGTCAGAGACAACAGGCTTCCCGATATTGGTTATAAACTTTCCTTGTTAATTCAGGCTTTCTTCTTCAGACTGTGCATTCATACAAAAGTGGATGTTTAGTGACCGATCATGTACCACCTACTTCAGTCAAGAGGTGCAGCTTTAAGGTGCTAATACTGCAAATGTTGCAAGTGAGGAGCACTGATAGAAAACTGTTAATCATGTAAGTTCATGTATTTATTTCACCACTGGACACAGTCTCATTAACAGCTGCACATTACAGCTGTTAAACATTGAACTTCATACATTTAGACATAATATTGAAGACGTGAACTTAGGTCTGAGAAGAATAACACTTTAGTTTTTGGCCAAATCAAAGTAAAATTAATGTTATTGATTGGATATTCTCTCTGCTGAATACCAAGAGACTAATCCATTTTCTAATCTTTGTTCTCTTAAGTGCAAAACCAGCAGTGTTAAACAGACTTCGCAGCATATTAAGACCAAGCACTCAAAACAGTTATGCATTTTTGCATCACGACTTGAGTACACGTAGGTTTCTGTGACAACACAACTCATACAGTGTACAGCGCTGTAGCTGCACGGCTTCATTCAGCTCAACAGGTTTGCAGACGTGACATATTCCCTCAGCTGAGAATCTGTATCACTCATAGAGCATCATCAGGGAGGCCAGTCCGCTAAATGATATAATGTATAATGATATGATAAATGAATAATAATAATCCTAATGTGTTGTGAGACACTAAATTAACAATTAACTGATATTGTATCCAGTTTAATGTATCCATAATAAATGGACTGTGTGGGTGTGTGCATGCGTGTGTGTGTGCGTGCGTGCGTGCGTGCGTGTGTGTGTGTGTGTGTGTGTGTGCTGTGCCTGGTATTTTGACAGTCCCAGTTAAATAGGATTGACAAAGACACCGTCCATTCCACATAACCTCATCTAGTCCTTTCCAGAGAAAAGGCCAAAACAAATACCACAGAAATGTCACTGTGTGTATAGATGACACCTCTGATTTCTTGTACACAAACACACACACAGACACCAAACCCACATGTACAGTGACACACTCAGACTGACTTTGTGACAGAGACGGGGGATAATTTGCATAATCTTCACCTAATTTCTTGCTCTTGCCTGGTTGTCCATTGTCTCACGATGATAAATTACTTCAAGTATCCTACCAGGCCCCTTAATATTGCACTAATTGCCCAATTAGGAAGCCGTTCTGCCTGATGTTTTCTGTAGTCACTTGAAATTTTAAGTTCATTGTGTAAACTAACACCAACAAAGGGCCTCAGAGCATAATTCCATCAATATCTAACAGAATTTAAACTTGAAGAAAATGAAAACTATTTTAAAAAAAAAAGATGTAGATGATATAGAACTTGTAAGCGTGGGTGAGATAACTTTGCTTTGTGTAAGTTCTTTACAATAAAGATTTCCAAAACTTTATGAATCACTGTATAAAAACACCACATGGACATGTAACCAAGGTAAAAGGAATTTATTTTCATCAGAGGGGGTCTTTAAAACGTCCTTTCTGCTCTGTACCACTGGATGCACTGGCAAGTTATTCTTGGGTATCATTGTCACCCCAGTGTATTAGCTGCAAGCATATCAAAAGGTGTCCGTAACTAACAAATAGGACAGTATAAAAGGTCTGTACCTAAATAGCGCCTTTCTACCTTAGTAGTACTAAAAGCGCTTTACAATGTTTTCTCATTCACACACATTCATACACCAAAGGCAACACATGGGAGCAACGTTGGGTTTAGTGACCAAGGACACTTTGACTGTGGAGGGGCGGGGGATCGAACCACCAACCTTGCGAGTAGAGGACAACAGCTCTACCACCTGAGCCACAGCCGCCCAACCTAAGAAATCAAATTGTCAGTGTCACTTTTTTCTCTTCATACTCTTGACTCAAGTATAAAGTACTAAATACAAGCCATTGTGTGTGTGTGTGTGTGTGTGTGTGTGTGTGTGTGTGTGTGTGTGTGTGTGTGTGTGTGTGTGTGTGTGTGTGTGTGTGAGTGGGTGTGTGTGGGTGTGTGTATGTGTGTGTGTGTGTGTGTGTGCTGGATTCACAAATGAATAATGAAATAATAAATTGCTGTTTAAGTTTGCAATTTTGCATTCTCAGTCAACTATGAAAAGAACGAAGGGTACACCTTTTTTTTTTTGCAGCAGAGAAGCTGTGTTTTGTTTTAATGATTTCAGCATTGATTTTAGGTAGGAGATCTACTACTGGACACCCTATTAGTTTATTCATTGTTTTACTTTTTTTTTTGTTTATATTTTTTTAATCTTTGGAAAGTGTTAATGTGCTCTGAAACCATTTGTAAGATCTATGAAAGCAAGCAATAATCTTTAAACAGTAAAAGGTGAGCAGCTTATCCATCATGATCTGATGATTTTTTCATGTTACAGCCAAACTATGGAAGGATGGGTGTGGCTATTTGGTTTATTTATTAAAGTTAATTTCAGTGAAAGTTTTAGAAACCTTTTGCATTTGGCTTTGTTTATGAGTGAGATCCAGACTCCTTAATTAGAGAAGTTTTTGTTCTTGTTTATCTCTGCACGGTTACTCAGCAATCAGCAGCCACCTGAAGGCATCTGTAAATGTAATGTTTGATAATGATGTCACAGTGAAACGGCGTGCCATATCACATCCAGACAGTGTGCATCAGCAAAACAAAGTGAGCTGTTTGCTAATGCCTCTATTAAAACACTTAAAAGATATATTGTCTTTTAGAAACCCGATTGCAATAATGCTGGAGGTAATTTGATCTGACGGTCTTTCTGCTGGCACATTAAACGGCCATATGAGACTGTTTTGCAGGACTAGAAAGGTCTTGCAGTGTGAAATAATGTGGTAGCAGTGTAATGATGCAACATTTTTTGAATGTTTGTGAAAAGTGGTTGTAGTCCAAAATGTTTTGTGGTCATTTTTCTGCAGCTTCATTTTTGCTCTTGGCAGTTAAAGCATGACTGAAACTTTTTATAGGAAGGTTTCGTAAACTTGAAGGTGGAGTCTGTGGTTCTGAAGAAATATTGTGTATTGATTTTTAACTAATTAGAATATTTCTGTAGTTAGCATGTACCATATTTACCATTCTTGCCATTCCCACCGAACCTCTTTTCCCACACAGAATGAACAGCTAGCGGCCTGTGTGCAGAGATTCACTCATTTTGACCAAAAAAGTCAGTAAAATCACATACTCCTCTTTTATAGCACATGTTTAACAGTAGTTCTGGGGTGTGTATTCCTGAAGCCTGTACTGCAGGAATAAGTGAGGTAACTTCAGATGTAACTCTTAGTTTTCAGAACAACAATGATGGTTCACTTCATACTGGGGTGTATCACCGTGGTAACTAATGCTGCATACACAACCTACTCAAGATAACACATCAATGTGTATGAAGCAACACCGACTGTTCAGTTAGTTGTCTTGGAAAATGGCATCACCATTTAAACCCTTTTACATGTTGACCTTTCAAGATTTACAGAAAGCCTACTTACGTGTTTGCATGCCGTTCTTTACTTGTTTACAAGACTGTTTAACACAACAAGGCTTGCAGCTGAAAGAATGAGGCTAAAACTGTCTGAAATACTGTGCACAGCTTGACCTGTCCATGTAAAGGCAGTCATTGCTAGATTCAGAAACTCTCGATTAACTTATCCAGTTGATAATAGGCTTTGCACAACTGCTTGTATGTGGTTGTTAGAATTAATGCAGCCAGATATCAAAATGATATTCTGGGTATGCTGAACTTGCTCTGTTGTCTCACACCAGGTCTGGGTGTGACGCTTTGAGCAAAAACGTCATGCTGCTGCCTGCTCTGAAACAAAACATACACAGTAAAAGCAACCCATGGAGCAATTTTGTTGCTCACAAAATGTACTAGCGAATGTAATATAGCTGTGCATCACTCAGTTGATAAAAGGCGGTGTGAAATTGTCCTATACACACTGCAGGTGTCATAAGTTATGGGATCATTCACATTAAGAATGAAGATTTTGTAGACAAAAGGTCGTTGTCTACAGCAGATTCTTGAAGGAACTACAAAACCAACACTACAGTACAGCTCCAAGGATCTGTCTTGTTCCTAAATGTGACACTTTCCAGTTTTTAGCTTCACTGTTGTCACCATATGTCTTCTGCAATGCTTTATCTCTCCAGCAGTGTCCTTTTGTCATCACCAGTTAGACTCAGTGTAGAGCCTAACTCATGCGGTGTTCTCCCTCTTGCAGGTTATTGTTTATTATCTCTTTAGCTCTGCCTTTTGCTCCCACAACTTGTTTCTTCCTATTTACCTGCTCTGCAGGATCTTGTATATCTCCTCACTGTTGGCTGGGAACAATCTCTCCCAACCACAGACTATTTTTGTCTCAAACATAGTCTCCAGCTGCATCTTCTTTCACACAGGATATTTTTTTTTCTTATTATAGTATTAGCTCTTCTGTCTCCTCTGTATGCTGGAATATATCACTGCTGTTATCTAAAGCATTATGTTTGCTTGGAATTAAAGTTTACTTGACTTTCAGTGTGTGTCACTGAGCTTTCTGTCCCAATGTGCCATAGAAATAATACGGAAGTCTATGAGGATACTTTTACTTGCCAGTTTATTTAAGTAGCACTTTCCCCCTAATCTAATCAAAACTTTCTCAGCCTCTTTTTTCCAACTCGAGAGCTACAATTTGGTCTTCCGCCTTTGGATTAAAACAAACATAAAATAGTGCTTATTTTTGTCACATTTCAACCCTAGAGAAACAGGCTCAGTGCCTATTTTTGCAGCTTAAGATACATTCAGAAATGTTGCCAGGCTCTGTTGTGGTTTTGCATCGTATTTAGATTTTTTTTTTTTTTTTACATTACTGACCTAATTTTTTTTCTCTTTTAGGATATTCTATGTGTCTCATGACTCCCAAGATCTGAAGATCTTCAGCTACATCGCCAGAGATGGACAGAGCAATGTCTTTCGCTGTAATGTCTTCAAGTCCAAAAAAAAGGTGAGACAGTTTTAAAGCTTTCCCCCTCTAACCAGTGATCAGCAGCTGAAGTGTGACACAAATACAGAGACTGGTTGAAGGCCAACAGCTGTAGCGTTTCTTCAGTAATCGATTCAGAAATTTGGCTTGAACCTGTGATTAACTGGTTTAACGTAGCGCTAGTGGCACATAGCATTAGTAACCTTGTGACTGAAGCCTGCAGTGTTTCCAGTAAGTTGCTCTGTTAATAGCAAATAAACTTTATTAGCAGTGTTAGCAGAGAGCAGATGTTTCACAGAGCTTTTTTTGGAAAGTATCTTCAAACATAGTCTTGTGTTTGGACACATTCTACCCCTAATTGAGATAAATGAAAGAGTACAGCATCCCTCCCTTATCAACAGCTTACTGGCCTTGAGCAAGGTGCTTCACCCCAACCTGTTAACAGTTAGGTGCTCAGTAAACAACAGATCAGACTGTGATTATTCCTGGTGTTAACATTTGTTTTGGTTCTTCTCTGCTGGTTAAAAAGTCAGAAAATGTTCAAATGTTTTATTTTTTATTTTTATGATACTGCAGCAATTCCTTATTTGGAGTTTGAAGATATATTTATTAAAAATGGATGTCAGAGATGTAGAAAATGGGCCTCAAACAAGAATCAAATAAAATTTATCACAAATAAATTTATTTCTAATAGGTGTGAAAACCACAACATTCTGCATTTTTCTCATCCTGAACTTATTTGACTATATTTTTACATTTTAAGATATTTTCATTTGTTTACCTAGTATGTTCTTGCGGTTTGTGCTGTTTCTCATCTTGTTTATGAATTATTAGTTCGGTGCATCTGCAGAGCAGTCAGCCAGCACTAAGCTCATAACTACTAATAACACAGTTTGATGTTTCACCTGTATACTCACATTTAATGCAATGCCTTTGTTTTTCATCTGTGATGTGCAAACATCACATTTCCACACAGTTTACTCTGTCACAGTTTTAAGACTCACCTGAGACTGTGTGATTCTGTCTACAATGATGTGGCTCAAATAAAAATACAGCTGTTTGATTCATCTAATGGGGTTCCCAGCTGATGACTGGAATGATCCTCTTTCATAGGGCAGCCCTGCAGTTAGTTAGTTATTAGGAAAGTTCTCTCACTCTCACTCTGTCACACTTTAAAGTGTAACATCAACTGTTGTAGGTCACAATACTCCCTTTTCTGATATCAGTCTGTCATATACTTGAAGCAGTGTCTTATATCAGCCACAGACTACTTAACTTCCACAGCTTCCTGAAGACACATCATTTAAGGCTGTACTCATAATATATTCTAATTGTTTTCTGATTGTCACCACTGACTCTTGTCAGGCAACCTTATGTGACAATTTTTAGTGTGTAAATGGTGTTAACGATCACCAGGGCCGTGGTGAACAAAGGAAAATCTTGGTTGACTGAAATCTTATCTACTCTTCAACCAATTGTTGAGTCTAGAGGGGAAAAAAATTCACATTATCTCCAGATTAACTAAATGTTGCATAGTACACTGCATCTGCCAGCCTTGTTGGCCTAATTGAATTGCAAATAAACATGTAAAGCTTGTATTTGCAACATAATAATTCATTTGAACCATATTATTTTATATTAAAATGATGACAGAATCAGAGCAGATCAGTGTGTACCCGCCCATATTCATATGATTTCTGAAAATAGAACTCTATGAACTGGTGATCCCAGCACAAAGACTGTTGATGAACATAACACAGATGAGTTATCCAACTGCCTTTAGATGATCTGCCATGTTGTCTATTGGACTGTAATGTGCGACTGCTATTCGCAGAGTTTACACTCAACTCGTATTCATGTTTTTAACAAAATGCAGCTACGCCAATGATTTCTATATCACGGTGTCAATTACTTTGGACCTGACTATGAGTACATTTTCAGCAAATATTAACTTAGTTAAACACAGCAGTCATGAATAGGTTTGGGGAAATCAAAGGAGTGAAAATGCAGGTCTACAGGTAGTCTGTTTTTCCAGCCACCCAAAACAGTGAATTAATTCTGGAAGGATACTGATGAAGCTCTTTCCCCCTAATGAGAGTACTATCAGCGATCATCCTGATTAACAGTTTTAATTAGGTGAAAATGAACCATTTAGAACATATTTGTTGAGAGAGAGAGAGAGAGAGAGTCTGTGAATCCGACTTTGTGCACATGTATGAGCAAGTGTCACAGAAAAAAGTAGTCGAGGTTAAGGATGAGAATATTAAAAGGGTAATGCATGAGGCCCGTCTCTTGTTTAGAATGTTGTTCACGTATAGCTCTCTTCCATTCATGAATAAATCAGTACACAACATGATTATTGTTTAGATTACTGTGAGGCTTCATTCGATATGAGTTCACTGGTAACATGACAAAGATTGACTTTTAGACAATTAAAGGAGAGCATTATGACTTACCAGCTTTATTTTTCATAGTGTAAACTGGTATTCATTTGCAAAACGGAATGATCGTTGCACTAAATCTTGTGTGAAAGATGTTGTGTTTGCTTGAGCTTTTGTTTTGATTTCTTCATTCTTATTGTCACTGACAGAATTGTGTTTTCACATGGTGCGATAACCAACTCATCAAACTTTGATGCTGTATGGCAAGATGGAAAAAGTCTGACACTAAGTGTGTCATTTCCAATGTCCTCACAGTCTGGTAGTCGTGTGCGGCTGAAAACAATTCCTCCTCCTCCTCTCTTAAATCAAGTCACTGCCTTGACAACCACCAATAAAGAAACACGCCAATAAAGAGACACACGGCTGTCAAGCAGCAATAATTCCTCCTTGCACTGTGGGCTTGTCAGTGTTGAGGAACAACTTCGAGGGCCTTTTGGGGTGGATTTGTTGCTGCAGAAATGAGCCGAGCAGAGACAAAGTCAAAACGGAGTCCAGCAGTGTGACACAGTTAGAAAATGTGCTCCCAGTTTTCCACTTTAGCTGCCAATTCACAGGACTTGATGGTTAAGTCCAGGGGTTAGCTGGGTGAAGCACACACTGCCTCATTATCTCTTACAGACAGACCGACATTGACACATGGGTATGCACACACACGCACACACACACACACACACGCACGCACAAATTTAGTTCAGAAGACAAAATGGAAAGTGACGCATACCAGAATTCTCTGGGGCAACCAGGGCCCTGAGGCCATTAAACTGGAAACTTGTCTGTGTGTGTGTGTGTCTGTGTGTGTGTCTGTGTGTGTGTCGACATGAATGGTTTTCAAAATATAATAGTGGTCAAGATGCTATAGGCAAGACTGTTATTAATGGAGGGCATCATTGTGTTTTAAAGCTTTAATTAATTTATTACTATCTATGTCTGAGTAATATTGATGAACATTTATTAATTTTTCAGCGTTGTTAAAAATGCAATTTATTGTAGCTGAAGCCAGAATGGAAGTACCAGCAGTGGTTACAAACCACAGACTGTATGTTACTAAAACATTCCTTCAGGTGTTGGCATCTCTTGTTGTGAATGAAAGATGGAGAGTGTCCTGCACTCTGGAAAGACACATAATGGTACTGCAAAATAAAATCAGCAACGTAAAAATGAGTTTATTTGTTTTATCTGTGATGGATCTTTTTGTGCTGGCACTTTGGCATTTGGCTTCTTCAGACTATAAACTCTGTTTTTTTTTTTTTTTACTAAATAGACAGTATGAATTGGTTTGACTGTAACTTGATGAATCAGTTTTGGGGACATTTAGGGGAAGCACAACAAGCCGGAAAATGACATATTACTACCAGAACATGGTGATGAAGAGTTTACCATTCAATCAGCATTATTTTGAAACCTGCTGTTTTCTGTCCTTGTTGATCTGTTCTGATTTCTACTAACTCTAGAGAAAATATGTCTGTCTTTACCCCACTATATTCACCAGCTCGTCACTACCGCTGCCTGTTACTTGGGCTGGTGGATTTATTTTGTATACAGTTTGGCTGGAAACAAGATTGGAAAATGATAGTGACAAAAACAAAGATACCAGAATGTTATGTGGAGATAAAGGGAACTGCAGAACTAAATACCGCAATTTCCAGACTATAAGCCGCTACTTTTCTCAAACGCTTTGAACACCATGGCTTAAACAATGATGCAGGTAATTTTTGGATTTTTACAAATTTTCCTTGAGATGAAAGTGACATTGAGAGCAACAACGAACGAGAGACTGAGGAAGTGTGTGTTGAAGGAATTCTGAGGCTGTTCAATTCCAACACTGACGATGACGACTTTAGTGGTTTTAGTGCGCAGGAGGAAGATCAATGACTTTTCCTGGTCGGCTACTGTATTTTTTATTTTTTTTAACCAGCCGTGTTACAGGCACTGTTTGGAAAAAAGCATTTACGGTACGTATTTGTTTATGTTACTGGTACGTATTTAATTAAAAGTTTAAAAAATCTTTCTGTGCAAATATCTCATGTTACAACGTGGACACCTGCAGCTTTTCGACAAGTGCGGCCTATGTATGTACACTTTTTTTTTTCTTTTTTAAAATTAGTGGGGGGGTGCGGCTTATATTCAGGTGCACTCAGTAACCTGGAAATTACGGAAAAAGACACTATATCTGTGAGTTTGTCACTATGAGTGAGATCTTTCAGATTACACATAATCATCTGATGATTGTGAAGATGAAAATGAAAATATTTTAATCTGACAATACAGATGCTGAAAAGAAGTATAAATTAACAAATATACACAAGTTCAATCAATATTATATAGACTTTGTTGTCTGTGGCTTTAAATATTCCAAGATATTGTAAGTCTGATGACATAATAGTATAACTCCAGCACCACATACACATATTGAAGTGGAGGATGACTTCATCGTCTAAGTTCACAACACAATCTGTGTAATGACAGATGGAAGTATATCAATTTACCTACAATATCGGTTTTACTGTTTGTATGCAGCAAATGGACAATAAATTCAGGGTTTTGTTAACTTCCACTTATGCCTACATCAATATATAGAAG